ATAACCGTTGGTAAGAAGAAAGCAAATCCTTCACAGCATATTGCCACTGCCCATATCCCATGGACAAAAACTTTAGAACGCAAAGAACATGGCGGTTTCTGAATGAATATTGACCTGAAAACCATACTGTGCATTCATTTATCCTAGATATTCTAAGGGCAGCATCCTCAAGCCTATAAACAGTGTGTGTGTGTGTAGTTGTGGGTGTGCTCTTTTTCAAAATATGAAAAGGGTGAATTAAAATATTGTAGTTTAAAACTGAATAACTGAGGATAGCCTTGGAAAGAAAGTAAAAATTATACTTCAAGAACAATGAATACTTTGAGAAGTGCATTTTCCAGATGCAATTTCACTTCAGAACTTTTAAGAGAACAACGTTTTGCTTTGATGACAGGAAACAAAATGGACATACTTTTCATCTGGTCCATCTTCATACTGTTCTAACGGAGGATTGCTGTACAAAGCAAGAAGAAGAAAACCAAAGGATCCATAAGAAGCAGCAAAAAGTCTGAATACCCAGTGCCATCCCAATGACGGGGCGGCGCACACTTTAGCATCAACAGCATTTAAAATTGATACACCTGGAGTGAGAGTAAAGATCTTATGACTAACATTACGTATTTGATTTAAAATAAAAACGCATATATGTAGATTGAGATGGAGGAGAGGAAGATACATGTTTTAGGTGCAGAATTTTACTTTGTTGGGAAGCCATGTACTTACCAAGGAATGACAGTGTGGTCACCAGACTAGTTGAGAAAACATGAAACCGGTGAGACCATGGAAAGCAAAGTCCAATCACTAAATAATTGCATACTGTACATAATCCGATGCCAGTTCCGGATAAAACACCAAAAGATATAACTACAAATCGTGTATTATTGCTAAAAGACGCCAGTACCAGCCCCAGCACTGCAAGAAATAATCCGGTAGCTTTTATTTGCCGAAGACTCATCTGCCCGACGTTAGACAGTGCCATGTACATTGGGTTACTTAGGGATAGTTTGAACACAAAGTAAACTGATAGCGGTGCCCCTGTAAATGAGAGAAATTCATGTTAAGTCTTGTATCTGTGTATTACTCTGATTTATGTATGCGATAAACACCACTTTTTATAAAGAATCAAATCTGCTTTGAGGTACAATAACTCCCCCCTTATTTTTAAAACCATTGCAAGTATACATCATTATTTTATTTTATATTATAACACCGACCTCCTTGTCTTAAGATGTAATTTACTTGAAGACCTGAACACAGAAGGTTACAGAGATGGGATAAAGATGAACAAAAAGAAAGCAAAGACCACAAGGTTCACAAAATCGTCAAACATGGAGAATTCTGCGCAGGCCATCCGCCAGTAGTGGTGTGACCAGCTGAGATGAAATGAAAAGAGATTAAATTTAATTTGATGAAAGTAAAGATAGACCTTACCTAGCAGTGCTAAAGACGATTCTGGAAAATCTATGTCCTGTTGAAAACATAATATTGTTGTCCCCCACGAACCTTCAATTCCATTTGCAATCATAAATAAAAGAACAGTAATCCCCAGTACAAGCCATCCTCTGTAAATATCAAGAATTTTCATTACTGTACGTATTTGTTATTGTGTTATAATCTAATATGAGAACCCACGAAACGATGTCAACCTGTCTAGACGGTTGAACCTTGACACCCAACGCTCTATATTCGTTATTGCATGTGCAACTGGTTGTATGAATATCAGTGTCTTTCTGCAAAAAATGTTGATTATGTTTGAAACACATTGCAATATATATATTTGAATTGTTATGTGTATATAATTTCTTTTATTTCGGGTTACCTGTTAAAACATGTAGTTGCGGGTCCCTTGTCAATAACAAACAGCTATGGAACAGTTTACATATTGTTGACATGGTGTACCAAATAGTAATTTGATTAACACAAAGATGACGCCTTACTTAGCAAGGCAAGGGTCGACTCCCCATTATAAATAAATATATATATATATATATATATATATATATATATATATATATATATGTATATATATATATATAATTAGGCAAATATAGATATAAAAGAATATCTTGTTGAAGAAGGTACTGAGAAAATCGTTATATACAATATAACCTGGTTCCAGAAAACTTGTTATAACAAAATGGTATTTTAAACAAATAGTGTGCAGTCCTGACGTGACGACAGAGAATAATCTCCAGTGAAAGAAGATACAAGAAACTTTCGCTTTTACTGCAATATAAAAAGAGTTCCAGAAAACAATCTGTATGAAGCCTAATTTATGTGACCTAAAACTTCCACATCGTTTTGAACATCACAGCTTGTGCACATGGTGAAATGCGAGATATTTGTAGACACAATAGGGGTAAATATCAAGGTGATAATAGTGAAAGATTTTTTTTATTTGAAAATAACGTAATTAATTTCAGACGATATGTAAAAGTAAACTTCCAATATTCAATCGAAAAAATCGGTGTTCTTCATCCCTTCAAGAATTTTCAAATCCCTCCACTTCTTGATGAATATGAGCAAAGACATTGCAAAAACGAACACACCAAAGCATTACGCAATGGACAGAAACGCTGCGTAGTAGCTTCCTGTGACGTCATGGATATATCCTGAGGAACAAATATGAGTAAAATTAACAAATATTATAATGACAGCAGTGAAAGAGCAGATGGACAGTTGTGCGAACTGAAGTTGAAAGGTATTTGTTGAACTACGCCCCTCAATATGTAAGATTTTGTTAGGACAAAAAAGGATAAAACAAAATTATAGCCACTGTTGGGGAATAAACCTTGCAAACATAGTTATCTCATCACTTCTGTGAACAAAGATAGTTCATTTAGTTTTGATAATGAATGACGCATTATGGATCTGTTTTCATAAAAACTGCACGATTTCAAAGTTCCAAGATAATTTTAAAGATAATTGATCAAGGATTCCATGGAAAATTGCCAGTTGTAAGAACTTAACCTACCTGCTATGTATGGCCCTACAGTTGCAACGACACCTTTGCTGAAACGCATTGTCATGAATAACGTATAGACATTATCTTCGTCCATGATTTCATTGTTGACAGCATAAAACCCAGCAAAGTATATGCCAAGACAAAAACCTGAGGCTTAAAGATTATTTTAAGCTTTGGTTATAATAATTGCCATCTTCATTTGAACATAAAGTATTCTTATCTATCTCTAGGAATGGTAGTCATAAAATGTGCATTAGCAACTGGATTCTGACCTCAATATTCTTGAAGCACGTGCGTGTCAATATTTTTGTTCTTTCTATGTAACACGTTACACCTGCAATTGCGTTAAAAACGTAACTAACAGTACCTTAAGGGTACATAAAATGTTGTTCTACATATAGGAATAACAACCAGAAGGCCAGAATTTAAAACCAAAAACACACTCACCAGCTCAATATACACATATAGCAGTCAAAGATGTCCATTTGATACAAAATGTATATTTGTTTCATGTATACTTGTATTCCGTCGTTCTTATTACCTCTACCAAGGAAGTTTTGTTTTTAGTTTCGTTTGTGCGTTTGTCCGTTAGCAACATTATACCAAAACTTGTGAAGATTCTTTTGCCTATAGCTATTTATATTTGTCTGGTCTTACCAGCCAATATTTCGTCTGCTTGCAGTCAGACTTCATCTTCATCTTGCAGGAGTGTTTCAGACAAGGTAGTCGATTATTCGGCAGTGGCACACCTGACTAAACATTTTTCTATCGTACCTTGTATGAGATAATTAAATATACATTTTCTTTATCCCAGGCACTCTTTTTAAGCTTAAATAGACACTACAGAGTGTTGAATATCAAGCCTGTATCTTTCTGATATACCATATGTATATAATAGATGTACATATCTTCAGGACATGTGCCTTTACAACGATAATTTACTCACTCCCCTTGTCAGTTTCACCAAAAGAAATAGATTAAGACCGCCTTTTATTAAGTATTACCTCGCCGTATAAAACCATGCCGAGTGAAGGACCACACTCCTTTTAGCCTCGAACCATATTTACGAAAGTATTATGTTTATATTTTTGTATTTTTGTATAATACACACGTACGCCATCCTCAAATAAAGACACTGTTTTGTAATCTGGTGAACGCAAATATGAACCCTTACCTAGCAATGCGAGAGTCGACTCTGGAAAAGCTTCATCCTGTTGAAAACACATAATTGTTGTCCCCCACGATTCTTCAATTCTAATTTGAACCACAAAAAGGAGGATAGCAATCCCCAGTACAACCCAGCGTCTGTAGATACCAGGATATATCATTACCAAGCGTATTTTACATTTGTTTATTATCCTAAACTGAGAGCATGGTAGTAGTAAGTTTTGTCTAGACGGATTGAAAGGCAGTCATGAAATGTACATCAACCCAGCTCGACTGCGCCTTGACAAAATTAACCGGCGCACCTGTGCGTCTGCGAGTGATCATGTGAATATTAACATTTTTTTTCTTTCCGCTGCGCTGCAAAAATTGACTCCATTTAAAACATATTGCACTATCTATCCGATTACGATATTAAAATTATGTAATTAATTTTATTTCTAGTATCCTGTTTAAACATCTAGATGTGGGTCAAAGATGTTGAATACGCAATGACGAACAATAAGGGAACGGTTCACATTTTATTCACGCTTACTGGAACAAAAGATGATAGTGGCTTGGTGTATGGAGAAAGCTAAAAATACAAAGATAATAAAAATATAAAGTAAACCTTGTTAAATAAATCTTCTTTATAACGAACACAAATAGTGCACAGCCCATAGGAGACCACGAATAACAGTCTCCAGTGAGAGGATATACAAAAAGATTCGCTTCTATTGCAACATTTAAAAGTTCCGAGACAAAATTTGTCTTAACCCTAACTATAATGTGACTTAATGCTTCTACGTCGCTTGAAGTTTGAATATCACGGTTCGTGTGCATGATGAATACGAGATACGGGGTAATAAAAGTCGAAGCAACCTTCTTCAGGTTTTTTTTTTTTCCTTGAAAAAGACGTGTAATTTATGCTGGACGATATGTCACAGTTTATTTCCAAAAATTCAGTCAAAAGAATTGATGTTCTTCTTCCCTTCAAGGCTTTTCAAAACTTTCCACTTCTTGTAGCATATTAGCAAAAGCGTAGCCAAAACGAACACGCCATAACATGACACAATGGATAGGAACACTGCGTAGTAGCTGCCTGTGACGTCACGGATATATCCTGAGGAAAAAATGAAGACTCGCATTACAATGACAACGGTGAAGTGGCAACTGAAGGTGTTTTAAACTTGATGTGAAAGGCTAGTATTAGTTTAACTACGCCCCTCAATGGGTATTTCAGCTTTACTAGAATGAAAAAACAAACAAATATTAAAGCTTTCGCTCTGGAGTGAACATTGCTTAAATATAAAAGATCAATCTCGTCATGTCACCGAACAGAATACAAAATCTTCACACTTAACGCTGCACCTGTAGCCATTTTTTAAAACTACAGGGTGTCAAAATACCAAGATGTTTTCAATAATAATTGAGCTAAGAGTCCATGAGGATTATTTTGTAAGACCTTAATCTACCTGCTATGTATGGCCCTGCAGTTCCTCCGACACCTCCGGTGAAACGCATTGTCATGAATAATGTGTTCACATTTTCTCCGTCCATGATTTCATTGTTGGCGGCATAGTGCCCAGCATTGTATAGGCCAAGAAAAAATCCCGAGGCTAAAAAAGTAATTCAAGTCTTGGTTAGAATATTTGTCACTTAAATGTAACCAAAAATCATTCATAGCTACGGCAGCCATATAATGTACATTAGCAACTGGATTCTGACAACAGTATTGTTAAATCACATGCATGTCAACGCTTTTTTACTCGTTCCATGTAACGTTAAGCCAGCAATTGCGTTAATTTTTTTAGTACCTTAAATATACATATGCTGTTGTACCATACAGAGAAAAAACAACCAAAAGGCCAGAATTCAAATTGGAAAACACTCACCAGCGCAATATACATAAACAGCTGTCAAAGATGTCGAATACGCAGCAATAATATTATTCACAGTGAGCACCGAAGCCTCCGCCAGATTCGCCACCATAATATTTCCTTTTACATAGTCACCAACCAGAGATCCAAACGTCTGTCCAGTCATACCCATGATTCCGAGTACTGCTATCACGTGCACTGCATCGTCTTCTTTATAACCAACGTCTGTCAGATGTCTTGGCTAAAACAAGAAACCATGCAGTGCATAGAAAAGGAGAGGTACCCTGTATTTTAAAGATACATACAAAGTCAATTTTTTGTCATAACAACCAACCAAATGCCAGCATATAGTTTCAAGTAGTATAACTTAGAGAATTACCAAAAGGCATTGTTTAATTTTACCCGAAAGTGATGTTTGAACAGATTTTTCTGCTAGCATTCTATGCTGTATATCAATGGGGCAGAAAAGTAGGTCACGAAAGTAGGTTAAATTGACAACCAAAAGTTTAAAGAAAGGAGTACTCTAAAGCTCTTTTATTGCTGATCGGGTAATTTATTCAGTTTATTCCTTGGCATGTCGAATTTATTAAAGTCGTATAAGAAACTAGTAGAAGTGGTTTACATGTGTTACTGGGTATCTACGATCCACTGATGCTCGGTTCGTATGTACCTTTAAGGTAAAGCTTAATTAAATAAACGCAATTCAAACACTGTGTGGACAAATGTTATTGAATTCAAACTTCAAAATAACGATTTCTAAGTGACGTATTAAGTGTGCACAATACAACGTTTTACAAACCAATTGTCTATATTTCTGTTTTATTGTAGACGCTCTGTTTTACGAGGTGTGCTCGTTAGAAACCCACTGTTTTTGTGCACCTCATAATCAACTGTAATACAGGAACTAAAACTAAATTTACAAGCTTCAAACAGTTTGCTAAGTATTACTTGGGAAGCACTAAATTGACTTAACATTTCTCTTTCGTCTACTTGGCCCTTAATCTGTCATCAACCGACATTTATTTAATGTTGCATTGGTCCCTTGTATTGTATCCTGCCCTCTTAAATAATTTCTTTCACTCTTTCTAATAACAGGAATGTCGTTTTATTATTATTTGCCTTTAGTCACCATTTTACATACTTTCAAGACCGTTGAGGTTACAACATTTAACCGTTTTTTGAGTGTTAATTTTCAAAGTTTGAAACACTTGTGTTAAAGTGCTGGAAACATTGAATTGTTGGCGGTAACTTTTTGATTAAAAATCATCTTTTGTGCATCGCTGTTCCCCTTTAACATTGCATAGACATGTACATATTATCAAATCTACTTACATATGACAAATATATCCATTCATATCATTTTGAATACTTACTATTATAACCATTGGTAAGAAGAAAGCAAATCCTTCACAGCACATTGCCACTGCCCATATCCCATGGATAAAAACTTTAGAACGCAAAGACCATGACGGTTTCTGAATGAATATTAACCTGAAAACCGTAATATGCATACATATATTCTATATATTTTAGAGGCAGCAGCATATTACATCCTCAAGCCTATATATATATACCTGTACATTGTGTGTTTGTGGGTGTGTGCTCTTTTTCAAAATATGGAAAAGGGTGTATTAAAATAGTGTAGTTTAAAACTGAATAGCTGAAGATAGCCTTGGAAAGAAAACAAAAATGTACTTCAATCATACTGAATACTTTGAAAACTGCATTTTTCCGGATGCAATTTCTTTTCCAGTACCTATTAGAGAACAACGTTCTGCTTTGGTTACAGGAAACAAAATGGACATACTTTTCATCTGGTCCATCTTCATGCTGTTCTAACGGATCATTGCAGTACAAACCAAGAAGAAGAAAACCAAAGGATCCATAAGAAGCAGCAAAAAGTCTGAATACCCAGCGCCATCCAAGTGACGTGGCGGCGCACATTTTAGCATCAACAGCATTAAAAATCGACACACCTGAAGTGAGAGTGAGGACCTTATGACTAACTTCACGTATTGGATTTAAAATCCGAAATGCATGTATATAGATTGAGATAGGTGCAGCATTTTACTTTGTTGGGAAGCTATGTACTTACCAAGGAATGTCAGTACGGTCACCAGACTAGTTGAGAAAACGTGAAACCGGTGAGTCCATGGAAACCAAAGTGCTATCATTAAATAGTTGCATACTGAACATAATCCAATGCCAGTTCCGGATAAAACACCAAAAGATATAACTACAAATCGTGGACTATCGCTAAAAGACGCAAGTACCAGCCCCAGCACTGCAAGAGATAATCCGGTAGCTTTAATTTGCCGGATACTCAACTGCCCGACGTTAGACAGTGCCATGTATATTGGGTTACTTAGGGATTGTTTGAATACAAAGAAAACTGATAGCGGTGCCCCTGTAAAATGAGAGAAATACATGTTAAGTCTTGTATCTGTTTTTTACTCTGATTAACATTTCTGATTAACACCACTCTTTATAAAAAATCAAATCTGCTTTCAGGTGCAATAACCCACCCACCCCCTTATTTTTAAAACCATTGCAATTATACACCATTATCTTATTTTTATCTTATAATACTGACCTCCTTGTCTTAAGATATAATTTACTTGAAGACCTGAACACATAAGAAAACAGAGATGGAATAAAGATGAAGAAAAAAGAAGCAAAGACCACGTGTAATGAAATTGCCAGAAAACAAAACAGAAATGTAATATCAATCGTTGTGTAGCAACCGAAAGAAGTAGAGTAATACATATATTTAGAAAGACTATTGACGACAGGGAATGAGATGACCAGAGAAATCGACAAATGGATAACTGCAGGATGGAGACGGATTGGACAGTACAGCTCCTCACCGAAAGATCAAAAGGTACCCATGTGCTTGTCGAAGAAGATCATGTCTGCAGTAATCTTACTGGCAATGACGAATGGATCAGAGATATGGTCCCTCACCAAAATTCACATAAGAAAAGCTGGTCTTGGTGCAGAGCAGTATTGAAAAAATCATGCTCAATCAGTCGAAGAAATACATGATCCCGAATGAAGTGATGACTTCATAAACAAAGGCGTACAGTGTACGTAGAAGACATAGCAGAAACTGTAAAAGGTCTATGGCCAGGACACTTTGCCAGAACGAACAGTAGAAAGTGGGTCATAAGTTCCCCAAGGGATGAAAAATGAGTCAAAGGAAGATTAAGAGAAGAGATGACGTTGAGCAGAAGGTCGGCAGTACATAGACACAAGTGGCATAAAACCTTCAAACCTGGAGATCTCTGTGGAGACCATCCGCCAATATTGGCGTGACCAGCTGAGATGAAATGAAAACAGATGTAATTATAATTTGATGAAAGTAAGATAAACCTTACCTAGCAGTGCTAAAGATGATTCTGGAAACTCTTCGTCCTGTTGAAAACACAATATTGTTGTCCCCCACGAACCTTCAATCCCCATTACAGTCATACCTAAAAGAATAGTAATCCCCAGTACAAGCCATCCTCTGTAAATATCAGGAGTTTTCATTACTGTACGTATTTGTTATTGTTACAATACCGTAGGGAGATCGGGGTTGCCGTCTATTTTGAAAATCCATGAAACGAACGTCAACCCGTCTAGACAGTTGAACCTTCACACCTAACGCTATATTCGCCTTTACATGTGCAACTGGTTGTATGAATATCAGTGTCTTTCTGCTACAAATGTTGATTATGTTTGAAACACATTGCAATATATCTCCTTGTATTGTTATGTGTATATAATTTCTTTTATATCAGGCTACCTGTTAAAACATCTAGTTGCTGGTCCCTTGTCAATAACAAACACTAAGGGAACGGTTCACACATTATTGAAAAAAAAAAAGGAGCAGGAAATGTATGGTGGCATAGTGTACTATATTGTTATTTGATGAACGCGAAGAAGAAGCCTTACTTATCAAGACGAGAACCGAACTCTTATAACATGTGCGTGAGAGAGAGAGAGAATGAGGCATATACAGATATAAAAGAATGTCCTGTAGAAGGTACTAAAAATCCTCAAATACAATATAACCTGCTTCCAGAAAACATGCTATACCAAAATGGTAATTTAAACAAATAGATCACAGTCCTGACTGGACTAGGAAGAATAATTTCCTGTGAGAGAAGATACAAGAATATTCACTTCTGTAAACAATATTTAAGAGTTCCAGAACAAAATCTGTCTGAACCCCAATTAATGTGCCTAAAATCTTCCACGTCGTTTTGAATATCACAGCTTGTGTACACCGTGAAATGCGAGATGTTTGTAGACACGCTATGCATGGCCCTACAGATGTTAATGTCAAGGTGATAATAGTGGAAGCAACTTAGTTTTTCGTTTAAAAATGTAATTAATGTCAGACGATATGTAAAAGTTAACTTCCTATATTCAATCGAATGGTTCCATAATACCTATTATAACAAAATGATATTGTAATCTCTAATGTTATTGTGATCTCCAGTGAGAGAAGATACAAGCACCTTCACCTTTATGGTAATATTTAAGAGTTCCAGAACAAAATCTATATGAATCCTATTTTATGTGACCTATAACTTCCACATCGTTTTGAATATCACAGCTTGTGTACATGGCGAAACGGGAGATGTTTGTAGACACAACAGAGGTAAATGTCAATGTGATAACAGTAGAAAGTTTTTTTTAACGTAATTCATAATTTAATAACGTAATTAATGTAAGACGATATGTAAAGTTAACTTCCAAATACTCAATCAAAAAATTGCTGTTCTTCATTCCTTCAAGAATTTTCAAATCCCTCCACTTCTTGATTAATATGACCAAAGAGATTGCAAGAAAGAACACACCAAAGCATGCTCCTGGTATCATTTTANGAACAAAATATACATTCTACCAAAACATGAAGTTTCAAGTCCAAAATTAGTACTTAGTGGCATAGCCACGTGACCCAATAATAGTTGCCAGTCTACGAGGCAAGGATTCATATAATTGTCTGATGCGTTCAGGCCTTATGCTGGCCCAAGCATGAAACACTGAATCTAACATTTGAAACATATTGCACTATCCTATTATGCAGTAATGATTATGTAATTAGTTTTACTTCAAGTCTCAAGTTTAAACATCTAATTGCGGGTCCCACGGCAATAGCAAACAATAAGGGTACGGTAGACATTCTATTCACGCAATATAATAACAACATAAAGAGCAGCTTGTTTTAACAGATGCAACATAAATAAAATATTCTTTATAAGGGACACAAATATTGTACAGCCCAGAGGAGACTGCGAAGAAGTCTCCAGTGAGAGGATCTACAAGAACCTTTGATTCTATTGCAACAACTAAAAGAGTTCACCGACATTTTTTTTCTTAATCCTAACTAATATGACTTGAACTTCCACGTCGTTTTGAATATCACAGCTCGTATGCATGGTGAGATACGAGATATACACAGTAGGGGAAATGTCAAGGTAATAAAGTCGACGAAACTTTAGGTTTTTATTTTGAAAATGCATGTAATCTATAGTGAACGATATTTCAAAGTTTACTTCCAAAATTCAGTCAAAAAAATTGCGGTTCTTCTTCTCTTCAAGGTTTTTCAAAACTCTCCACTTCTTATAGCATATGAGCAAAAGCGTAGTAAAAACAAACACGCCATAACATGACGCAATGGATAGGAACACTACGTAGTAGCTGCCTGTAACGTCACGGACATATCCTGGGGAACAAAATGAAGACACATATTACAATGACAACACTGAAGTGGCAAATGAAGGTGTTATAAATTTCATGTGAAAGGCTAGTATTCGTTCAACTATGCCCTGAATGGGTATTTCGGCTTTACTAGGATAAAAAAAAGCAATATTTATGCTTTTGCTCTGGACGTTGCTAAAATAAAAAAGGTAAATCTAGTCATTTCCTTGAACAGAATACAAAGTGTCTTCATACTAAACTCTGCACTTGTAGCTATTTTTTAAAAAACTGCAGGTTGTCAAAATGCCAAGATCTTTTCAATAATAATTGAGCTATAAGGGTCCATGAGGAATTATTTTGTAAGACTTTAACCTACCCGCTATGTATGGCCCTGCAGTTCCTCCGACACCTTTGCTGAAACGCATTGTCATGAATAACGTGTACACATTTTCTCCGTCCATGATTTCATTGTTGACAGCATAGTACACCCCATTGTATAGGCCAAGAAAAAATCCCGAGGCTAAAAAATTATTTCAACCTTTGGTTAGAATAATTGCCACTTTAATTTAACCATAAATAATGCTTATCTATCGCTAGCAACGGCAGTCATAAAATGTGCATTTGCAAACTGGATTCTGACTTCAGTATTGTTAAAGCACATGAATGTCAACAATTTTTTGCTCTATCCATGTAACAAGTTAAACCTGCAATTGCATTAATTTAACTCGTAGTACCTTATCGATACATATGTTGTTGTATTACAGAGAGGGAAAACAATCAAAAGACCATAATTCAAATTTGAAAACACACTAACCAGCGCAATATACATATACAGCAGTCAAGGATGTCGAATACGCTGCAATAATATTATTCACAGTGAGCACCGAAGCCACCGTCAGGATTACCACCATAATATTTCCCTTAACTTTGTCTCCAACCACAGATGAAAATGCCTGTCCAGTCATGCCCATGATTCCAAACACTGCTATCACGTGCACTGCGTCGTCTTCTTTATAACCAAGGTCTATCAAACGTTTTGGCTGAAAAACATAGGAACATATAAGTACATACAAAAGGACAGGTATTTTAAAATGAAGCTAAATTAAATACACTCAGCTCAAACACTGGGTGAACAAATGTTGTTGAATTCACACTTTAAAATTACGATTTCTACGATATGTATTAAGAGTTCACCGCACAAGGTTTCACATACCGATAGTCTATATTTCAAATAAACCTTCTTATTGTAGACGCTCTGTTTTACGAGGCGTGCTCGTTAGAAACCCACTGTTCTTGTGTACCTCATAATCAACTGTAATACTGGAACTAAAACTAAACTTACAAGCTTCAAACAGCTTGAAAAGTATTGCATGGGAATCACTAAAAATACTCAACATTCCTCTTTCGTCTACTTGGCCCTTAAACAGTCATCAACCGCCATTTATTTTGTTCTGCATTTGTATCTTGTTTAATATCCTACCCTCTTTAAGACAAAAGGAATTCTTCACACCCAATAACGGAAATGTGGTTTCATTATTTGCCTTAAGTCGCAAATAAATTAATACTTTTCAAGACCGCTGGGGTTATAATATTTAACCGTTTTTGAGTGTTTGTTTTCAAAATTTGAGACACTTGTGTAATAGTGGTGGGAACATTGAATTGTTGGCGGAAACCTTTTGACAATTTTTGTGCATTGCTATTCCCCATTTATATTGTATAGATATGTACATATTATCAAAACTACTTAGATATGACAAATATATCAAGTCATATCATTTTGAATACTTACTATTATAACCATTGGTAAGAAGAAAGCAAATCCTTTACAGTACATTGCCACTGCCCATATCCCATGGACAAAAACTTTAGAACGCAAAGACCATGGAGGTTTCTGAATGAGTATTGACCTGAAAGCCATAATATGCATACATACATTCTATATATTTTAGAGGCAGCAGCATATTACATCCTCAAGCCTATATATACCTGTACATTGTGTGTTTGTGGGTGCGTGCTCTTTTTCAAAATATGGAAAAGGGTGTATTACAATATTGTAGTTTAAAACTGAATAGCTGGAAATAGCCTTGGAAAGAAAATAAAAATGTACTTCAAGCGTACTGAATACTTTGAAAACTGCATTTTCCGGATGTTATTTCATTTCCAATACTTATAAGAGTACAGTAAACAAAATGGTCATACTTTTCATCTGGTCCATCTTCATGCTGTTCTAACGGATTATTGCTGTACAAACCAAGAAGAAGAAAACCAAAGGATCCATAAGAAGCAGAAAAAAGTCTGAATACCGAGCGCCATCCCAGTGACGAGGCGGCGCACATTTTAGCATCAACAGCATTAAAAATTGACACACCTGAAGTGAGAGTAAGGACCTTATGACTCACTTCACGTATTCGATTAAAAATCCGAAACGCATGTATATAGGTTGAGATAGGTGCAGCATTTTGTTGGGAAGCCATGTACTTACCAAGGAATGTCAGTACGGTCACCAGACTAGTTGAGAAAACATGAAACCGGTTAGTCCATGGAAACCAAAGTGCTATCACTAAATAGTTGCATACTGTACATAATCCAATGCCTGTTCCAGATAAAACACCAAAAGATATAACTACAAATCGTGGACTATTGCTAAAAGACGCCAGTATCAGCCCCAGCACTGCAAGAGATAATCCGGTAGCTTTAATTTGCCGAAGACTCAACTGTCCGACGTTAGACAGTGCCATGTATATTGGGTTACTGAGGGATAGTTGGAATACAAAGAAAACTGATAGTGGTGCCCCTGTAAAATGAGAGAAAATAAGTTAAGTCTTGTATCTGTTTTTTACCCTGATTCATATTTGTAATTAACACCGCTCTTTATCAAGAATCAAATCTGCTTTGAGGTGCAACAACACCCTTATTTTTAAAACCATTGCAATTATACACAATTATTTTATTTTAATCTTATAATACCGACCTCCTTGTCTTAAGATATAATTTACTTGAAGACCTGAACACAAAAAGAAACAGAGATGGAATAAAGATGAACAAAAAGAAAGCAAAGACCAGAAAACAAAACAGAAATGTAATATCAAATCAATGTGTAGCAACCGACAGAAGTAGAGGAATACATAAATTTGGAAAGACTATTGACGCCAGGAAATGAGATGACCAGAGAAATCGACAAATGGATAACTGCAGGCTGGAGACGGATTGGGCAGTAAAGCTCCTTACCAAAAGATCAAAAGGAGCCCATGTGCTTGTCGAAGAAGATCATGGCTCTAGTAATCATACTGGCAATGGTGGATCGATCAGAGATATGGTCCCTCACCAAACATCACACAAGAAAAGCTGGTCTTGGTGCAGAGGAGTACTGAAAAAATCATGCTCAACCAGACGAAGAAATACATGATCCCGAATGAAGTGATGACAAAGGCATACAGTGTACGTAGAAGACATAGCAGAAACTGTAAAAGGTCTATGGCCAGAACGAACTGTAGAAAGTGGGTCATAATCAGGAAAACAAACCGGTGTACCCCAAGGGCTGAAAAACGAGTAAAAGGAAGATAAAGAGAAGAGAGATGGAGAGATGACGTTGAGCAGAAGGTTGGCATTACATGGACACAAGTGGCACAAAACCCTCAAACGTGGAGAACTCCGCGGAGACCATTTGCCAATATTGGCGAGACCGGCTGAGATGAAATGATAAGAGATGAAATTATAATTTGATGAAAGTAAGATAAACCTTACCTAGCAGTGCTAGAGACGATTCTGGAAAATCTCTGTCCTGTTGAAAACACAATATTGTTGTCCCCCACGAACCTTCAATCCCCATTACAGTCATACCTAAAAGAACAGTAATCCCCAGTACAAGCCATCCTCTGTAAATATCAGGAGTTTTCATTACTGTACGTATTTGTTATTGTTACAATACCGTAGGGAGATCGGGGTTGCCGTCTATTTTGAAAATCCATGAAACGAACGTCAACCCGTCTAGACAGTTGAACCTTCACACCTAACGCTATATTCGCCTTTACATGTGCAACTGGTTGTATGAATATCAGTGTCTTTCTGATAAAATGTTGATTATGTTTGAAACACATTGCAATATATATCGTTGTATTATTATGTGTATATAATTTCTTTTATATCAGGCTACCTGTTTAAACATCTAGTTGCTGGTCCCTTGTCAATAACAAACACTAAGGGAACGGTTCACACATTATTGACAAAAACGGAGCAGGAAATGTATGGTGGTATGGTGTTCCATACTGTAATATGATGAACGCAAAGAAGAAGCCTTCCCAGCGGCAAATTATGTTGTTTTAACGTTGAAACAACGTTGAACCATAACGTTGAGAAGACATTGGATAAACGTTGGATTTGAAAGTTGTGTCAGCCTCAGAAAACAACGTTGTATCAACGGCAGAAAACAATGTTATATCAACCCCACCCAGCGGTAAATTAGCCTGGATGTGTTTAGCAGTAGGACATGCTTGATGGTTTAATATATGTAGGGTATAAATGTATGTCCTTTAAGTTAAATTTCCCAAGGTTTAGATTAATATATATATATATATATAGTTCTTTTCTCATANCCTGTCTATCTATAACAGTTTATACCGAGAACTGTTAACTCCATCACATTTACAGCAACTAATCTATCCTAGTGTTAGCTGACCTTGCAAGGAATTCAGTTTATTGGAATGCATTTCTGAATAACAAGTTAAGAAAATTCACTAGTTAACTAAAGACACAAAACAACTGTCACTTTTACTTTAAAACCCTTTTGTTATTATTTTGATAAATTTAGTTACAGTATTGATAAACAAAGTATCACGTTTTCAATAATTAATATTTTAAATTACAATCCATAACTGCAAGGTTGTGTCACTGACCAAAATACAACGTTGAGTCAACGTCACATTATGACGGTGTTTCGACGTGGCTGGATCAACGTTGATTTTACGTTGGATTTAGGTAGATCAACGGCAATTCAACGTATCAACCTGTTTTCAACGTTGATCCAACGCAACTATGCCTGCTGGGCTTACTTATCAAGGCGAGAGCCGAACTCTTATAATGTGTTTGTGTGTGTGTGTGTGTGTGTGCGTGTGTCTAAGAGAGAGAGAGAGAGAATAAGGCATATACAGATATAAAAGGATGTCCTGTAGAAGGTACTAAAAATCCTGAAAAAAATAATAACCTGCTTCCAGAAAACATGCTATACCAAAATGATTATTTTAAAAAATAGATCACAAACTTGACGGAACTAGGAAGAATATTCTCCTGTGAGCGAAGATACAAGAAGCTTCACTTCTGTTACAATACCTGTATATACATACCTAGGGATGGTATATGATCATGGCGATATGCTGATTACTGAAGCCTTTCCATTTAGCCAAGCTTCAGTGAAGATCCAGGGCAACCTCGAGCCGCTATCCAAAAATATCTCTCTTCACTCGACATTTCTGCGTAGCGTCTTTAGGAAAACTCGGATTTAACCTCGATGTAGTCTAGAATTTCACGACTACATCTTGGTTAAATCAGTCTAATTCTCTTGAATGCTGAAAGCCGAAGACAGTGATCATGTGACCTTCTTGGCATCAAGAGAATACTGTGTTACGCCTTCGCGGCCGAGTGCCTTATGAAGGTACAAATAACAATGTACTTACTGGTGTCTTAGAGTCAATAACACACTGTAGTAGAGATCAACGAGCCAAAGAGAGTCCAAAAAGCCAAGATTACAGACCACAAGAGCCAAAACGACCGCAAAGAAGCCCCAAAAGAGACCGATTTATTTCAAGTCGCACCTTATATACATGTTCAGATAGTACACGTTTACCAATCAGAACCAATTATAAAGTGAACAGTTTTACCTTTAAATTACCAATCAAAGGAGAGATTCAAACGTGCGCACCGGACTGTACTTTACTTATAGACACATCCACCGGTAGCAATATAAAACAATCTCAACTAACACACTACATCGTCACAACTGACTTTACTTGCGTTATATACCTACCAGTTGACAAATTAAAAATCTCTCACACTCTTAAAAAATTAACATAAACTTTTCACGTTTAACAATTATTCTTTATGATTTTATTACACTAAGTCATATCATATGGGTATGTTTTGAAAACGAGAATTAGTTTACATTTAAGCCACGCGTGCATACAAATTATTTGCAAATCTATAACTTTTTAACGAGGGTTGTGTGATTTACCAGACATACCGCTAAAAATCAAATTTATTCCCCCTTTGAACTTTTAATTGCATGCAGCACATTAATGCTCTGAAAACCAGCACACGTATATTCCGAAACCGCCTCGTAGTAAAAGACGTCACGAAAACGTATAATTTTTACTCCTGTGGACTTGAAATAAACCTCCGTTTCATTTTGACTATATTCCGTAACCACCTCGTCGTCAGAAATAACAATAAAACTGGAATTATTACTCCCCTGAACTTGTAATAAACATCCGTCTGACTTTGACTATATACCGAAAGTGCCTACTTGTCAGAAATATCACCAAAGAGTAAATTTCTTTCTCCTTCCCACCTGTTAAAAATCAGTTTGACTTTATTCTCGTCCGACGCTCCTTGTTTATCAGAAATGTCACTAAAAAGTAGAGGTTTTGCCTTGGGACCTTTTTTCTGCAGCAGTCCCAGCTAGGTGTGGCTCAGCTGAGACGCGCATGGTCAGCGTCGTCGGTTGATTGAATATTTTTCAAGCCAGCTGAACGTCCACGACAAGTATTTATCAAAAATTGATCAAATTGGTCAGACATTACGTAAGAATTTGGCAGGAGGTGACCAGCGCAAGTGGACGAGTTTATTCTATATAACATCTCTAGAGCGTGATATAGGGCCACTTTATTCGGTTTTAGGGGTGTTTTAGGGTGAAATGACTATATTTGTTCTCGGTATGTATGTCGAATAATACACTGTCACCCTCTCGCGGTATATGCCATGAACACCTCTCGCTGACGCTCGAGGCGTTATGGCATATATCGCTCGGGTGACAGTGAATTATGTCACACTTAAGAGCTCCAGAACAAAATCTCTCTGAACCCCCTTGAATGTGCCTAAAAACTTCCACGTCGTTTTGAATATCACAGCTTGTGCATATGGAGAAATGCGAAATGTTTGTAGACACGCATTGTGTGGCCCTACATATGTTAATATCAAGGTAATGATAGTGGAAGCAACTTAGTTTTTCATTAAAAAAACGTAATTAATGTCAGACGATATGGAAAAGTTAACTTCCAAATATTCAATCGAATGGTTCCATAATACCTATTATTACAAAATGATATTGTAATCTTCAATGGAATTGTGATCTCCAGTGAGTGAAGATACAAGCACCTTCACTTCTATTCCAGTTTCAGAACAAAATCTGTCTCAATCCTAATTAATGTGACTTAAGACTTCCACGTCATTCTGAATATCACAGCTTGTGTACATGGTGAAATGCGAGATGTTTGTAGACACAATAGAGGTAAATATCAAGGTGATAATATTGGAAGTAACTTAGCTTTTGTATTTGAAAATAACATGTACTTAATGTTAGACGATATGTAAAAATTACCTCCAAATATTTAATCGAAAAAAATGCTGTTCTTCATCCCTTCAAGACATTTCAAATCCCTCCATTTCTTGATGAATATGAGCAAAGACATTGCAAAAACAAACACGCCAAAGCATGATGCAATGGACAGAAACGCTGCGTAGTAGCTTCCTGTGACGTCACGGATATATCCTGAGGAACAAAAATGGGTATAATTGACAAATATTATAATGATAGCAATGAAGTAGCAGATGGACAGTTGTGTGAACTGAAGTTGAAAGGTATTTGTTGAACTACGCCCCTCAATGTGTAAGATTTCATTAGGACGAAAATAGGATAAACAAAATTATAGCCACCGTTCTGGAATAAACCTTGACGTCTCATTACTTGTGTGAACAAAGCTAGTTTATAAAGTTTTGCTAATGAATGACGCATTATGGAGCCGTTTACACAAAAAAAATGCACGATTTCAGAGTACCAAGATCATTTTAAAGATAATTGACCCAGTCCATGGAAAATTGCCACTTGTAAGAACTAAACTTACCCGCTATGTATGGTCCCACAGTTCCTCCGACACCTTTGCTGAAACGACTTGTCAGAAATAACGTATAAATATTTTCTCCGTCCATGATTTCGTTGTTGACAGCATAAAACCCGGCAATGTATACGCCAAGACAAAAACCTGAGGCTTAAATATTATTTCAAGCTTTAGTTATAATAATTGCCATCTTCATTTGAAAATAAATTATTCTTATCTATCCCTAGCATCGGTAGTACTAAAATGTGCATTAGCAACTGGATTCTGACCTCAATATTCTTGAAGCACGTGCATGTCAATATTTTTGTTCTTTCCATGTAACAAGTTACACACTCAATTGCGTTAAAAACGTAACTAACAGTACCTTAAGGGTACATAAAATGTTGTTCTACATATAGGAATAACAACTAGAGGCCATAATTCAATATCGAAAACACACTCACCAGCGCAATATACATATATAGCAGTCAAAGATGTCGAATATGCAGCAATCATATTATTCACAGTGAGCACCAAAGCTGCCCCCAGGTTCGCCACCATAATATTTCCCTTCACATAGTCTCCAACCAGTGAGGCAAACGTCTGACCAGTCATACCCATGATTCCGAGCACTGCTATCACGTGCACTGCATCGTCTTCTCTATAACCAAGGTCTGTCAGATGTTTTGGCTGAAGAAAAAATAGGAAACCAGTACATACAAGAGGGGTGGTATTTCCAAAAATTAGATTTAATAAATGCAATTCCAGCACTGGATGAAGTAATGCTGGTGAATTCACACGTCAACAAACGAATTCTACGTGATGTATTAAATGTACACTATGCAAAGTTTCACATGCCAGTTGTACATATTTTATAAAAATGTACTGTTTTCTTTATGGCGTTTCAACATTAGTGTGCACGTTTGAAACCAAATGTTCTTTACAATATTAAAGGGAAACTGACTAATTAGATATAACAAATTCACTACAGTCATAACGTTCATTTTGAATACTTACTAATATAACCATTGGTAAGAAGAAAGCAAATCCATTACAGCACATTGCCACTGCCCATATCCCATGGACAAAAACTTTAGAACGCAAAGACCATGGAGGTTTCTGAATGAATATTGACCTGAAAGACCACATAATGCATGAATTTATTCTACTATAGATATTCAGAAAGGCATATTACATCCTCAAGTCTATACACATTGTGTGTGTGTGTGTGTGTGTGCGTGTGTGCTCTTTTTCAAAAGTTTATTTAAAAAAGAATAACTAGATAGACTTGGAAACAAATAAACATATACTTCCAGCATACTGAATACCTTTAAAATGCATTTTACCAAATGCAATTCCATTCCCAGTGCTATTAAGAGAACAAAGTTTGCTTTGCTACAGAAAACAAAATGGACATACTTTTCATCTGGTCCACTTCCATGCTGCTCTAACGGAGGATTGCTGTACACCGCAAGAAGAAGAAAACCAAAGGAACCATAAGAAGCAGCAAAAAGTCTGAATACCCAGCGCCATCCCAGTGACGGGTCGGCGCACATTTTCTTATTGACAGCATTTAGAACTGGTGGACCTGAAGTTATAGTTAAAGGCATAATAACTCTTTGTATGAGACCTATATTTCACAATAAAAACCTTGTGAATAACTCACAGAAATATAATATATTCTGTTTTACAACAAAAACAGCAGCTATAGCTTTTATTCTGATATTTGAACTTGTCTTTAGACCACGTGACCTCCATTGATGTCTATACTTTGTTAAAATCTCTTAAGAGATTTTAACAAAAAACCAAACTTTTTAGAAAAAAACCAGGGACTAACTTTGAATGTAAAAATGGATTCATTAACCATTGGTAAGTATGGGAAAATTGTTGTTTACTCCAGGAAAATTCATTTTTTGGCCGAAATGAAGAGTTATTATTGCTTTAAGAACATTTGGATAAGCTGTACTATATCTTCAACTAGTCTAACGAGGTTCAGGTAGCCGTGCTGGACTTTTAAATAGTAGCATAGGGGAGGGGAGGGAAATGCTACTGAAGGACTGCCGAACACCACAAGAAGGAGAAAACCAATGGATCCCAAAACGGCAGAATTAAGTCTAAATGCCCAGCGCCATCCCAGGGACGGGTTGTTCCACACTTTAAAATCGATGCACCTGGAGTGTAAATACCTTGTGACTAAATATCCGCTTATGATTTAAAATCCGAAACGCATGTATATAGATTGGGATTGTAAAGAGGAGAATACGTGTATATGCTTTAAGTGCTGCATTTTAGGGACCATTCCCACAGATATTTGGGTCGATCTATTTCCCTAGAGAGTCTCACTAAATTGCTATCAAACTAAAGGGCTTAAACGTCTGTCATGCCTAGTTAAACTGTTAGGGGGTAACTTTCTTTACCCCTAGCTGATTCAGTAGGTGTGACAGACATTTAAGCTTCTTGAGCTGATAGAAATTTTATCGTGATCCCTCAGGGAGTTAGGTCGATCCAGATGGATGAATCTTATTATGGCAACCCAGTCTTACTTTGTTGGAAAGCCACATACTTACCAAGGAATCCCAGTATGGTCACCACACTGGTTGAGAAAACATGAAACCGGTGAGTCCATGGAAACCAAAGTGCTATCACTATATAGTTGCATACTATGCATAATCCGATGCCAGTCCCGGATAAAACACCAAAGGATACAACTACAAATCGTGTACTATTGCTAAAAGACGCCAGTACCAGCCCCAGCACAGCAAGAGATACTCCAAGGGCTGTGATTTGCCGAAGACTCAATTGTCCAATTTTAGATAGTGCCATGTATGTTAGGTTACTTAGGGATAGTATGAACGCAAAGTAAACTGATAGCGGTGCCCCTGTAAAATGAGAGAAATACATGTTGTCTTGTATCTGTGTTTTACTCCGATTTATCAATGTGATAAACACCACTTTTAATTAAGAATTAAATCTGCTTTGAGATAGAAAAACCTTTTCGCCCTTATTTATAAAACCATTGCGTTATCACATTATTCTTTTTTTTTTCTTATAATTACGACCTCCCTATATGAAAATATAATTTACGTAAGGAACTGAACACAAAAGGAAAGAGAGATGGAATGAAGAGATGGAACTAAATTGAAAGAAGACAACAGAGAAATGGAATGTCAATCGATGGATAACAACTAGGGGAATACTAGGTAAAGGTACTAGGAAACTAGGTAAGCAGGGAAATCAACTAACGGATAACTGCAGGCTGGAGACGGACTGGGATTCGAAGTATACTCGAGGAAACTCAGTTTTGGGAGTTTTTTGGGGACAGAATAATTTTATTTTTGAGCTCCACCAGTTTTACATGAACCCTACATCCATTTCTAATCCTTAGGCAAACCTTTTCGGCGTTTACACATTTTTGAGTCCAATAACAGATCAAAACAATGGAGCCCCCCACCCCCCAATCCCACCCCCTAAACCAAAAATGGCAGGAATTGCAACAAAATGTCAATAGTTCACGTTACCCCTCGTTGGCATCTTGGAAAGCCTCATGGATCAGACCAGGCCTATCTGGTGATTTGCCGATATGGCTGCCAAAACCACGACACTGGGACCGCCCAACCGGTTCACTTGGCGCGCACAATGTTCGGCATTCCTCTCCTGACGTCTCCTGTACACCCGATCTCGGCCATCTGCTCTGAAACTCTGGAACCTTTTCTCGTCACTAAACACGACTTGGGACCACCTCTGCAAATTCCTACGATGATGGGCAGTGCATCGTTCGACTCGAGCTCGGGGACGTTGGGGGGTAAGGTGTCCGTGTGCTTGAAGAAGAAGAAGATCGTGGTTCCAGTAATCATACCAGCAATGGCGAATGGTTCAGAGGTGTGGTGCATCACAAAACACCAGACAGAAGGGCTGGCCGTGGTGCAGAGGAACAAGGAGATTCCAATGCTCAATAAAACACAGAAAGACAAGATCCAGAATAAAGTGATTAGATCAGAAACAAAGTAGAAGACGCTGTAGGCATAGCAGAAACTGCAAAAGGCCAATGGACAGCGCACTTTGCCAGAATTAACAATAGAAAGTGCCAGGATAACAACAGTGAATGCCAAGTAATATTGAAAAAGAGTCAAAGGAAGACCAAAGATAGGGAGATGATATTTAGCAGAAGGCCGGTGTAACAGGAATGGAATCCCTAGAATGGAGATCCGGGCCCCCATATGATAAGTGCACGTTAGGATTGGTTGGAGTATTTGGGTTAGCATGTGGGACGAATGTCACCTGAACAAAGTCATGGGAAGCGGACTACGGATCCTAGCGGACAACCATCCCTGTTACACTGCACAAAATCGTCAACTGTGAATTCTGCTGGGCCATACGCCAGTAGTGGCGTGACTGGCTGAGATGAAATTAAATGATATGAAATTGTTATTTGATGAATATAAAGAAAAGTCTTACCTAGCAATGCGAGAGACGATTCTGGAAAATCTTCATCCTGTTGAAAACACAATATGGTTGTCCCCCACGAACCTTCAATTCCCCTTTGAGTCATAAATAGAAACACAGTGATCCCAAGTACAGCCCAACCTCTGTAAATATCGGGAGTTTTCATTTCTGTACGTATTTGTTATTGTGTTATAATTCTTTAGTAAGATCATGGGTGCCGTCTATTTCGAAAATTCATGAAACGACCGTCAACCCGTCTAGACAGTTGAACATTGACACCCAACGCCTTTGCATGTGCAACTGGTCCTGTTAATATCAGTGTCTTTCTGCTACAAATGTTGATTATGTTTGAAACACATTGCAATATATATCTTTGTATTGTAATGTGTATATAATTTCTTTTATTTCAGGTTACCTGTGAAAACATGTAGTTGCGGGTCCCTTGTCAATAACGAATACCAAGGGAACGGTTCACACATTATTGACAAAAACGGAGCAGGAAATGTATGGTGGTATGGTGTTCCATATTGTATTGAACGCTTGAACGCAAAGAAGAAGCCTTACTTATCAAGGTGAGAGTCGACCCCTTATAATATATATATATATATATATGTGTGTGTGTCTGTGTGTGCGTTTGTGTGTGTGTGTGTGTGTGTGTATGAGAGAGAGAGAGAGAGAGAGAGAGAGAGAGAGAGAGAATCAGGCATACACAGATATTAAAGAATGCCCTGTAGAAGGTGCTAAGAAATACACAAATACAATATAACCTGCATCTAAAAACATACCAAAACGCAATGGTAATTAAAACAAATAGATCACAGTCCTGACGGGACTAGGAAGAATAATCTCCTTGGAGAAAAGATACAAGTACATTCGCTTCTATTGCTACTTTTAAGAGTTCCAGAACCAATCTGTCTGAACCCTAATTTTATTTGGAAATAACATGTAATTAATGTCGGACGAAATGTAAAGTTAACCTCCAAATATTCAATCGAAAAAATTACTGTTCTTCATCCCTTCAAGACTTTTCAACTCCCTCCATTTCTTGGTGAATATGAGCAAAGACATTGCAAAAACGAACACGCCAAAGCATGACGCAATGGACAGAAACGCTGCGTAGTAGCTTCCTGTGACGTCACGGATATATCCTGAGAAACAAATATGGGTATAATTGACAAATATTATAATAAGAGAAGTGAAGTGGCAGATGGAATATTGTGCAAACTTAATTTAAAAGGTATTTGTTGTACTACGCCCCTTGATATGTAAGACTTAACTAGGATGAATGAGAAAAAAATTAAACAATGATTAAATTCACCGCTCTAAAATGAACATTGCTTAACATAGACCAATCTCGTCAGTGCAGTAAACAAAGTTCATAAAGGGTTGACAATGAATGACGGAATATGAATCTATTTACACAAAAGCTGATGTCAATTTATCGAGATCATTTTAATGATAATTGACCTAGGAGTACATGGGTAATTGCTAGTTTGTACAAACTGAGCGTACCTGCTATATATGGCCCTACAGTTCCTCCGACACCTTTGCTGAAACGCATTGTCAGGAATAACGTATAGACATTGTCTCCGTCCATGATTTCGTTGTTGACGGCATAGAACCCGGCAATGTATGGGCCAAGAAAAAAACCCGAGACTAGAAAATTATTTAAAGATTTGGTTAGAACAGTCGCCATCTTAATTTGACCTAAGACTAACTGATAACCATAGCAACGGCAGTCATACAATGGATTCTGAATTCAATATTTTAAAAGAACATCCTTGTCAACAATGCGATCCACATACTACGGTAATGCCTCAGATTGCGTTAAAAATTAAACTCACAATATCTTAAAAATGATTTTGTATAAAATAAACATCATCATGAAGGTCAGAATACATGCTAAAATGAATGGTAAAAACACACTCACCAGCGCTATATATATATGCAGCAGTCAAAGAAGTTGAATATGCTACGATACTATTATTCACGGTGAGCATCGCAGCTGCCACAGTATTCGCCACCATAATATTTCCCTTCACAGAGTCCCCAACCAGAGAGGCAACTGTCTGTCCAGTCATAGCCATGATTCCAAATACTGCTATCACGTGAACTGCGTCATCTTCTTTATAACCAAGGTCTGTCAGATGTTTTGGCTAAACATAGGAAACCAGTACATACAACAAAAATGGAATCAAACTCAGGATCAACCTCGATAAAACAAATATAATTAAAACAATGGATGGAATATTGGTTTGACTTCACATGTGACAATAACAATTTTCTGCATTTTTTCGTGAAATATTAAACGTACACTTTAGATAGCTTAATATGCCAACTATATATATTATATATATATTTGTTTTATATATGTTGGCAGCTGAACAATTACATGTTCCTGTAGCATTCACTTCCCTTTTACATCATAATCAACTAAAAAAACTGCACCACAAACTAACAGGACAAACTTAAATTACACGCTTTAAGCACTTTAAAAGAAAGTTTAAGACACTCACGTGATATTTATGGAATCATTGCCTTGTTGACATGATGTTAACTGAATAAAGCCATTGATATTGTCTACATCGCATCTTTTCTTAATCACAAATTTAACACAATAGTTACACTTATACTGTACTATCAAAACCACTTGAAGATGGCATACATGGAAACGCCATTACGTATACTCACTAATATAACCATAGGTAAGAAATAAGCAAATCCTTTACAGCACATTGCCACAGACCAGATTCCATGAATGAGAACTTTAGAAGCCAGAGACCACGGTGGTTTCTGAATTAATGGTGACCTGAAATATCATTATCTGCAGTTTCGAGGCAAAAAAGGATTACAATGTCGTGTCTTGATATTATATGTATTACCCATATATAATGACATATATTACATATTCCCAATACAATGTTTTGGCACTTTAAAATGTTGATTACAAAAACAGATATTTTTCGTTGCATTTTTCGTGGTGACACCTAATATACTGGGCTATTAAAAGGAAAAAGCTCTATTTCAACTTACACATATTAAAATAAACATACTCATCATTTGGGTTATATTCCTGTTCTTCTATCGATGCGATTGGAGGACTGCCAAACACAGCAAGAAGAAGAAAACCAAAGAATCCAAAAACAGCAGCATAAAATCGAAATGCCCAGCGCCATCCCAGGGACGGGTCGGCGCACATTTTAACATTGACTGCACTGAAAATTGATGGACCTGAAGTGAGAGTTAAGAGAATATGAATAACTATGAGGGTTTGAGTGGGGATGAGAAACGCAGAGAGAAAGAGTGAGAGAGAGAAAGATGCATGTAGATGTTTTAGGTGCATCATTTTTTCCTTGTGTGAATGTCACCGTACTTACCAAGGAGTTCTGGTACAGTCAACACACTGGTTGAGAAAACATGAAACCGGTGAGTCCATGGAAACCAAAGTGCTATCGTCATATACGTGCACACTATGAAAAATCCAGTGCCGGTTCCGGACAAAATTCCAAAAGATATAGCCACAAACTGTGGACTATTGGCAAACGACGCCAGAACTAGCCCCAGTACCATTAGGGATACTCCAACAGTAATGGCTTGTCGAAGGCTCACCTCTCCACATTTAGATAGTGCCATGTAGATTGGGTTACTTAAAGATGCTTTAAACGCAAAGAACACAGAAAGTGGGGCCCCTGTAAAACAATAAATAAAAATATTTTTATATTTTTATTTTCATTTGTATTTATCCCTGATTTAGTGCAGAGCTGTACTAATACACACGATGCATTGTATCATAAGTAGAGGAACGTGAGTAAATACTGTTAACCAACAAAGGCAGTCCCTTCCAGCACGCCAAGGTCAAATAAGCCTTATTACAGGCAGGATAAGCCTTTTTCTTGGTTAGAAGATATAAATTGTTCCAAAGGGGCAATGAATCATGCTTTTTACTGACGACTTATGAAAAACTGGCATATTTAGTGTGGTTAACGCACTTCAATATTTATTAATTTATACTTTTTCTAGCAAAGTTTATAAACAGAAATTATACATGCAAAAATGGAAATGGTTTGAAAATCGAAGGACACCGTAGACTAAAAAAGTAATGGAGAACATTTCCGTTCAATCTCAATGATAACACCATCCTCCATGTCTTTTCTATGTCTTTTCTAGGGTAATTGGTGACTTTTATGGTCTTGCTCTAATAACGTTAACTCTTGTTATGAACCCACTGAGGTTATAAAATATAGTGTAAGTAGTTTAAAGGTTGGGTAACGCGTATATTCGACAACAAAGGACAGAGCAAGGCGGGGCCCAGCTTAATCGAATCTGTAGCTGCCATAAAGGAAGACTGCACTTTTCTTCGGTGTAGTTAGTAACATCATCTCTGTTATGAACTGTGCACAAATTATATGGTGACGTAGCCATGTAGTTTGGAAAGGGTCTACGGAGACTCTTCAGTACTTTGCTACTTTTAGCCAGTAACTTATAATATATATTTATCATATAATTCATTCATTAAATAAGATAAGATATAAATTAAAGTACCATATATGAACATTAAGATACTGGGAGCTACCTCGAAAACAATGTACTATTAAAAGGAACAAAAAATGATTTTCTAAAAAATAAAAAGAAGAGATGGTAAATGGAACTCTTGTCAAGGTATTTTCTGATACATGTCTAAAAATACCAAAACACTTGTATATATCTGCAGGGTACGTGACTTTACAACGATAACCTCTGCTCCGTCAGTTTCAGCAAAAGAAAAATAAATGATGAAATAGATTAAAACCACGTTTTATTAAGCATCAATTACCAAGTTCCCAGGCATACCGTACGAAAAAACACAATCTTTTAGCCTGCCACTTTTTTCTTCTTTTTTTTTTGGGGGGGGGGGGAGGGGGTCGTATACTTTACGTCCTTGAATAAAGATACTATATTATATTATATTATATCTTTATTCAAGATACTATATACTATATTATATTTTGATGAACGCAAAGAGGAACCCTTACCTAGCAATGCGAGAGTCGACTCTCGGAAAGCTTCATCCTGTTGAAAACACAAAATTGTTATCCCCCACGCACCTTCAATACCCTTTTGAGTCATAAATAGAAGAATAGCAATCCCCAGTATAACCCAGCCTCTGTAGATACCAGGAGATATCATCGCCGTGCGTCTTGATAATGAAAATCAAAAGACGGGTGCAGTGATCTCTGTTAATGCGTTATAATCCCGAACTTATTGGGTGATTGAAAGAAACCCATACGTCCATGCATTGAGCATCATCCCTCCTAGAGAGCCTTGACAGAATCAAACTATGCATTTTCACCTGTGCATGTGCGTCTGATCACTTGAATATCAACGTTTTTGAGTCAGCTACAAAATACTTAGTGTACTAAACATATAAAAAATGCTGCCTTATCTGAATAAATGCTTCTGGCTATAAATATAAATACATCTCACAAATTAACCTCTCAAAACCATTTTAAGTGTGAAGTAGAAGCATCAAAACCAGTTTTAGTGTAAAGTGTAACTATCGCGGTCATAAAGGTTATCTGACACTGCTTTGATGGATCCACTCATGTGTTCCCCGGTTTCTATAGGTGGGTCATTAAGTAGAATAACCTGACACAAAAAACATCTAAAGTGTGACCAAGATGTGGCATGCCATACAGGTACTAAAATATGTGTGTATAAACAGACGCCGAGGTTAGTGTAAGCCATTTAAAGCTGGGAAACAAGTACATTTGATAACAAAGAAAGAGCAAAACAAATGAACTCACCTTAAACATGTAGTGTCATCTACAAAGTTCACGCATTCCTCCGGTATATTCAGCAACACTATTCACGCTATTGGCACTGTACATGTACACTTTATACACGATAACACCATCAGAGAATCATGAGGGTGGCACAGGGTCTTCAGTACCATAGCTCTTTACTACTGATCATTTGCAGGGGCGGATCCAGGATTACTTGAAGGAGGGAGGGTCCACTGATTCGGAGCCAACACGCCCCCCTTGGCGTGGGGTTCGGGGCCCGCTGAAGGGTATTGATATTTTAAAAAGTGAACGGTGTCATTTGGTACGGTTTACAGCTATGATTCAACTAGTACAAATTCAAGAGGGGATCCCATTGGTGTAATTTTTTTCAGAAATCGAAAGGGGGGCTTAGGACCCTCCTGACCCCCCCCCCCCCCAAAAAAAAAAAAAAAATCCGCCACTGATTTGAATCTAGTAACGTTCAATAAATTAAGCTTAGATGCATGGGCGCCCATGACTCACTTATTCAAGATAATTCTATAATTTACAGGTACATGCGCTAGAACAAGAACAAATACAGGTTAAAAAAACAATATATACCCTGAAAATAGTTGAATCAAAAATATCTAAGTGAATGAATGAAGGATCGTGCCCTGATTTCGAAACATTTGCTCTCTTAATTAAAACAGAAATTACGATACTGAGTTGGTATATTGACCGACTTCTAGCAAAGTGTTTTATTTAAAGACATTGAAGCACGTGTTTAAACAAATCTGAAGAGAACATGATTTTACAATCCCTCAGTCCCTAGCTGGTCTTGGCCAGATGTGTTTTGGGTTTTGATATCAAATAGGCATTCCCCCACTTCATCTTGCTCTGGGTATACAAATCTGCAGTGAACGTGATTTTGTTCTGAAAATTTCTCTATCTTGTGTCATCAAAGAAAATGAAGTGACAAAATATAATTTAACCGCTTTTTATTTCAATTTATTTCTATTTCAATTTTTATTTCAAAATTTAAAAGTATCAATTCTGCATACTAGTGCAAACGACCACCAGACTATTGATCTCGTCAACATCACTGGGTAAAAGTACTGCTTTTCTGGTTTTACACAGATAATCAAACGTTTCAAATACGTTGTTGTTCATCAGTTATCTAAAAAATATTTCTGATTTCAGCAAAATTTGTTCGGAAGCTGTACATATCCGTTGCTAGCTGTCGCGGTTTGCCCCTACTATTCAATAGAATATGCACATTGGGTACAAATTTAGAAAAAAAACGGTAGAAGAGCCAGAGGAAGTTTACTTATTCAGAGAAAATGGCTTCTTGAGAAAATTATTTATTTTCTCAAATAATGGCAGAGAGAAAACCTGAAGATGGCACCACATGATAAACCAGAGGAGGTCATAATACACTGTCAATGAGGCACATTGCAAGGCAGTAAACTATAGCAACAAGGCCAGTATTTAGTTTGACTTCAAAATAACCTATAGTGCAAAACCTTAAACAGCTTCACACTAAAATCTTTCTTTACTCTAGTTTGACGGTGAACTACCACGTTGTTTGGGATTTCTCAGTTAATTAATACGAGATCTTGTGTGTGGACACATTGCATGGAGGGAACATCAAAGTTATATAATAATGGTCGATCCGAGTTGCCATTTGAAACTAAAGTTGTAATGCATGGTAAACGAAGGTTATTTCCAAATATTCAGTTGGATGAATTGTTGTTCTTCATCATTTCAAGACTTTTCAGATTTCTCCACTTATTGGTGAATATGAGCAAAGATGTTGCAAAAGCGAACACGCCAAAACATGACGCAATGGTCAGGAACACTGCGAAGTAGCTGCCCGTGACGTCACGGATATATCCTGAAGAATCAAAAGTATGAGTGTCAGAGGTCAATATAACAATGATAGGTTACAACGGGGTTTTGCTATTATGGGTGAGTAAAAAATTGCGTATTTGATACCATAAACATAAACAGGATTATTGTTTAAATTATTACAAAGGTGAAATATTTTACGGTGGCAGAAGTAAATCTAATTATTTTATCTCCGAAGTAGAATTTATTTTCATCGGCGTGGAAAACCCGCAAAATTAAAATGGATATTAAAATGTTTTAATATATGTCAACTGGTGGCCGTAGTTCACCTAGAAATTAAAACGAATATTAGGATAGTAAAAGGCTATCTTAGCCTACCTTACGATTCCAAGACTTATTTTTCATAGTTGAGCATGCAGTCATTTGAGAAACGGTCAGTCTGCACGACCTAAACCTACCTGCCAAAAAAGGCCCTGCAGTTCCTCCGACACCTTTGCTGAAACGCGCTGTCATGAACAGGGTATAGATGTTCTCTCCGTCCATGATTTCATAGTTAACAGCATAATACCCGGCAAGGTATGAACCAATACAAAAACCCGAGACTAAAAAACAATTTAATTTTGGTTTAAAAAATTGCCATAAGAAATTCTATAATTTGGTTTTAACCAACACTGGCCTTCCCGTACCAATGGTAGGCATGACCAGTCGTACTAGATGGATGTATCTCTCTGCGGGGCTTCTCACTAAAGTCCTTTCAGTGTAATCACCTCAACTGTCTGGCAGGTCCCCTTGAGTAACTAGAGGGTAATATTGGCTTTCGTTAAATACCCCGTAGCAGCTTGTGCAGGCGTGCAAGACATTTAAGCTGCTTACACTGAATTCATTTATACAAAATCTCCGCAGAGTTAGATTGATCCAGCTAATATAATGGATTTTATGAGAACACTCCCTAAAAAAGAATACATGTTAAATTTTTGTTCTATGCAATAATAGAGTTTTGCCTAAAATTGAGTTAGAAAATTAATCTAGTAGTATCTCTAACAGTTCAAAAACCGTATTTACTATGAAGGCTTTATTCAAGTATTTAAAACATACCCACCAGCACAAAATACATATGCAGCAGTCAAAGATGTCGAATATGCAGCAATGATATTAATGACACCCAGTACTGTAGCCAATACCAGGTTGGCCACCATAATATTCCCCTTCACATGGTCTCCAACCAGTGAGGCAAACGTCTGTCCAATCACACCCATGATTCCAAATACTGCTATAACATACACGGTGTCCCTTTTTTTGTAACCAAGATCTGCCAAATGTGTCGGCTAAAGAAAAGAAACCAATATAAACAAAAGTGGTACATAAAATTCAAGATCCATCTGATTTAAGCGAATACAATTAAAACACTGGGTGAATTAAAAATAGTATGTTGTATTTCTTCCTTATATATTAAACCTACACTTTCCGTAGCTCACATGCCATATTAACGTTCTTTTTTAGTTTCTTAGGCTCTTTAACAGTTGCGTACTCGTTTGACAGTAACTGAATTGTTTCAATTATAATCAACTGAAAACAGCGCCGAAAACTAACGTTTTAAACAGCTTAATAAATATCAAGAAGCATTCTCAACCAATCAATACTAAGGCTATTACCAGACACTTAACTCCACTACTATGTTTTAATTTTACATTCTGTTCTCTTAAAGACAAACAGTATAAACCTTCATATGACGAGGTATAGTTTTCTTAAAATACCCGTAGTCACCACTGTACACATTATTCAAACCCTTGACTTTATTAGGTTCAGTATAAACCTGTGTTTTATAATAGTCATAACTTAATGTGTGGGACACCAACTTTTCTGTGTCGCATTGGCTTTTCTTATCGAAATAAAAGGACAATTACATAAGCAAGTATACTGAGGAAACTACTCAAAGATGTCATACTTACTATATTCAGTATTGTTTACTTACTAATATAACCATTGGTAAGAAATAAGCAAATCCATTACAGCACATGGCAACGGCCCAGATTGCATGAATAACAACTGTACAGCGCACAGACCATGGTGGTTTCTGAAAAAATGGTAACCTGAAAGACCAATATCGGTCGTCTAGAGGCAAAAACAGATAACATTCATTCTTACATTTTAACAGCGGCCAAAAGTATTTGGTTTCAGGCATAATACAATGCAATAGTATAAGGAAATGCAGTATAAAATTGATACTTCTATGAGAAATGTAAATTGCTCTACTGGACTACTTAAATCTCAATTAACATTATACACATGTAAATTGGTGTTTAGCAGCTAATTTGGATATTTCATATTTCCTATGCAATGGTTATTTATACATATTTGAGACTTTGTTGATTATTAGACCTTGAGAATGAAATACGCTTTATTACTTGGTTTATTAAAAGAAAAGGGCTTTCCTTCTGCTTAAACATATAAAGATAAACATACTTTTCATTAGACCTATCTTCCATTTGTTCTGGTGGCGATAGTGGGGGTTTGCCGAACACCACAATAAAAAGAAAGCCAATGGAACCAAAAACAGTAGCATAAAGTCGAAATATCCAGCGCCATCCTAGTGACCGGTCGGCGCATATTTTAACATCAACAGCAGTTAAAATTGTTGCACCTGAAGATAGAGTTGATAAAACATGAATAGTTTTACGTGTTTGATTGGAATTCCGAATTGAAAAGACGTAAAGCCTGTGAGTCCATTGAAACCAAAGTGCTCACTAAATACGTGCATAGTAAAATACCTGATGCCATTTCCCGAAATAATTCCAAAACATATAGCCACAAACTGTGGACAATTGGCAAAGGACGTCGGAACCAGCCCCAGCACTGTTGAAAACACAATATTTTTGCCCCTCCCCCAACCTTCAATTCAATTTTGAGTCATAAACAGAAGAATAGCAATCCCCGATACATGTACAGCCCGCTCCTGTAAATACAGTGCCGCCGGAATCTCCCCTTACCAAATGGCCGTATGGTNATGTATACTGAGGAAACTACTCAAAGATGTCATACTTACTATATTCAGTATTGTTTACTTACTAATATAACCATTGGTAAGAAATAAGCAAATCCATTACAGCACATGGCAACGGCCCAGATTGCATGAATAACAACTGTGCAGCGCACAGACCATGGTGGTTTCTGAAAAAATGGTAACCTGAAAGACCAATATCGATCGTTTAGAGGCAAAAACAGATAACATCCATTCTTACATTTTAACAGCGGCCAAAAGTATTTGGTTTCGGGTACAATACAATGCAATAGTATAAGAAAATGCATTATAAAATTGATACTTCTATGAGAAATGTAAATTTCTCTACTGGACTACTTAAATCTCAATTAACATCACACACATGTAAATTGGTGTTTAGCAGCTATTTTGGATATTTCATATTTCCTATGCAATGGTTTATACATATTTGAGACTTTGTTGATTATTAGACCTTGAGAATGAAACACGCTTTATTACTTGGTTTATTAAAAGAAAAAGGGCTTTCCTTCTGCTTAAACATATACAGATAAACATACTTTTCATTAGACCTATCTTCCATTTGTTCTGGTGGCGATAGTGGAGGTTCGCCGAACACCACAATAAAAAGAAAGCCAATGGAACCAAAAACAGTAGCATAAAGTCGAAATATCCAGCGCCATCCTAGTGACCGGTCGGCGCATATTTTAACATCAACAGCAGTTAAAATTGTTGCACCTGAAGATAGAGTTGATAAAACATGAATAGTTTTACGTGTTTGATTGGAATTCCGAATTGAAAAGACGTAAAGCCTGTGAGTCCATTGAAACCAAAGTGCTCACTAAATACGTGCATAGTAAAAATACCTGATGCCATTTCCCGAAATAATTCCAAAAGATATAGCCACAAACTGTGGACAATTGGCAAAGGACGTCGGAACCAGCCCCAGCACTGTTGAAAACACAATATTTTTGCCCCTCCCCCAACCTTCAATTCAATTTTGAGTCATAAACAGAAGAATAGCAATCCCCGATACATGTACAGCCCGCTCCTGTATATACCAGGAGATATCATTGTGGTACGCTTTTGTTATAATTTGTTATTATCCAGTAGTTAGAGCACTGGTGTTGTCAGATTTGTCTTGGTGAATTTAATGGAAAATAAATGTCCATGAAATGAGAACCAACCAACCTAGGCTACTTGGGCCTTGACAACTCTTTTGCATGTGCGACTGAACCCTTAAATTTCAACTGTTTATTTCCGTTACGAAACACTTAGTTGACCACATTTAAAAACGTTGCACCGTCGTGTTTGAATAAATGCCACTGACCTCAGCAGGGCGCTGTTTATTTGCATTAAAAGAAAATTATTTTAAAAAAACAGTTTTGGTTTGGAGTGGAAATGTAAGGCTAACAAAGGTCATGGAAAGGTTATTGCTTACACGCGATGGATTCACCAATGTGTACCTTCTTTTCTATTTGTGTGTCCTTAAGTAGATACATAAAAATATCAATTGTGGTCGAGGTGAAAATTCTTGTCATACAGGCACACAAGTCTTCGTGTATAGACAGAGGACAAGGTTAGTCCATCTAAGTCGTTTGCCGAAGCGTAACAAAGCTGTCACGAGATTTTTGTGCGTGTTAAATCTTGTTTTAAAAGGAAAAATAGGATGAAAGAAAGAAAAAGAAAGACAACTCAGATTGCGGCTGCAGCTGTCATTTACAAACGTCTCAAATATGTCTCCCATAATATCAGGGTTATTGATGTGCAGAGTTTATACATGACTGCGTGTTCATAAACTGTCCCATAAGAGTAGCACAGTGTCCCTTCCTTATCTATAACCAGTTACTTAAATCTAAGACACATCATTATAACTTGCAGGTGATACAGAGGTGCCAATGGAGCATCACAGTTACAATTATTCGCTATATACATAAATTACGAAAAGTGCCATCCCCAGTTCCATGATATTTAAGCATACCCTTATTGCAAAATACTATTAATTCGAACTACAGGTGTAAAAGAAAGTGACCTGTACATGTAAGTAAAGGTGCTGTGAAAAATCTTGTAAAGGAAGTGCCCTGATATCGGAAAAGTTACATGTATAAAAGTAGTGACTCAAAAAATAATTATCAAAAGTTCAGATGTGGTATATTGGGTATATTGGTATATTGGCCAAATTCAGTCAAATTGTTTTATTTAAATTACTTACCAAGGAGTTCCATTACAGTCAACACACTGGTTGAGAAAACATGAAACCGGTGAGTCCACGGGAACCAATGTGCTATCACTATATACGTGGCTAATATAAGCAACCCGATGCCAGTTCCCGAAATAATTCCGAAAGCTATAGCCACAAACTGTGAACTATTGGCGAAGGACGTCAGTGCTGGTCCCAGTACCATAAGGGATACTCCAAGAGCTGTGAATTGCCGAAGACTCAGCTGTCCATATTTAAACAGTGCCATGTAGATAAGGTTACTGAGAGAGACTTTGAACGCTAGGAACACTGATAGCGGGGCCTCTGTAAAATTAAAGAAATTTTGTACTTGTGTTTATCTCCGATTCAATGTTATAGCACATGCTCTGTGGAAAAGTTTACAACTATAGTAAAATTTTTCTGTTTAAATTTTGGATTTGAAAGAGAAAAAAAATATTGGTAGTTGTCATCGTAGATTGGTATTTGGATAGAGAATCTAATGTCTACTATATATATACAGATTTCGTTTTTCAAATATATGTAAACATACTGCGCGAGGTTCTATCCTTATTCTACGATCTGATAAACACCTAGCTTTTTCGTCCATCCTTGCTTTGAAACCATCAACGTCAAATCAAAGCTTCAATTTAAAATGATGTTTTAATGTAACAGTTTCATGTAGCACAATCGCAATAAAATAAATGTTTAAATTAAAGAAAAAGCCTTACCTAGCAGGGCGATAGATGACTCTGGAAACCTTTCATCCTGTTTAAAACACAAGATAGTTGTCCCCCACGAACCTTCAATTCCTTTTTGAGTCATGAATAGAAGAATAGCAATCCCTAGTATAACCCAACCTCTGTAGATACCAGGGGATATCATTACTGGGTATCTCTGTTATTGTGTTATATAATTCTGAACGATATACTACTGGTGTTCTCAGCATAAATTTTGGGCAAACTATTCTCGGAATAAACATCGGACAACGTACACCTTAACAACATAGGGATTATAAACTTATGTATATGTGTGAGACACCACCCTGACTGCTTAGACATAGGCTGTCAAAGGTTTAGTCCGCAGTTTAAGACCAGTTCAACACCTAGAACGATCTAGCAGGATCGATCCATCTCCGAGGGATTTCTCCCTAAACTGCTTTCAGTTTAAGCAGCTCTGATGTCTGGCACGCCTACTGGAGCTGTTAGGGGGTAATTAAGTATCGTTTAGCAGCTTCAGTAGGCGTGCCAGACATCTAAGTCTTAGAGAGAATCCCCTCGGAGATGGGTTGATCCTGCCAGATCAATCTTGGTAAGGGAACGGGGTCTAACGCAGTGGACTGCATGTGAAATGCACTGGACATTCCAAAATATGATATTCCAGGGTGGACAATAGGTACCTTTTTACGCATATTAGTCACATATTATTGTGTTGCTTGAATCTGGTTATAGACCTGGAATAGCTTTTGTCAACAACTCGACGACAGGATGAAAGAAGGTAGAACGGTAGAACGAAGGTTTTGGTGCTAATCATCTGACCATAGTATAAAATGGATCAAGTTAAGAGGGACGTTGCATAGCCGGATGAACACAAATGAAGGTGATATGTATGAATGCATTCTCTATCGATTCTGTAGCGAGTAAGGCGTATATCACACTGCCAATATACAATCAAACAACCGATATGGACCTTCACCAAAAAGGTTTTTATTTGCAATTCACAGCCTAAAAAGTCTGAAAGAGGGAATTTTGCTTAGACAAACGCTAATTAAACATACCCTTATAAAAATACTGTTGAATTGAACTACTTGCTCTATTTTTTGCACTTTAAAACGATTGAGTAAAGAAGAAGAGTAAAAAATGTTATATTAAGCAAAATACTAAATACTATCAGATTAAATTATTGTTCAAATGGTTATGTTTACACTATTTATAAACCTGGTCCTTAATATTTCTTACACCCATATCTTTAAAATTTAACAAAACAAATTATTTATATATAGTTGGTATAGCAAATTATTTCTCAAAATTGTTCCATACTTATCATTAAATTAAAAAAAAACCGCGTCTTTAAGTGATGCTTGTTTCTGAGTCACCACATTACTACACTGTACTGCTTAATTAAATAACGGCTGAAAAGAGCAGAAGAAGCAAGGCGTGACGCACTGAAAAAGAAAATTCACAAAGCGAGCTCACATCCACTTCGTCGGTTATTATCACGACGAACCGCATACGTCGATTAGATGTGGGTAAACCGTCATATAGGTAGGATCGGACGACCGTGAAGTGCTATTCAGCGGTGCTCATATCACTCCACGCTTTCCACGTCTGAATAACATTTTCTTAACGTTTGTTGTTGGTCGAACCAAATATATAGCCCTGTGGAAAGGTGAATGGCGTTTACACCAAACCCCAAGCTTTGAGTGGTGCTCACTTGAGCCAATGGGTTATGGGTATTTAGTGACCAGTTCTTCTGAATATTGAATATTCTGTTGTTATCTTTACCCGACGCATAACAGAATCGTTTTACTAGATAGCTCTGATATTTCTCTGGTTAACTCACTAGCTGTCCAGAAAGTATCTGTGCACAAGAACAACGTCATCTCTCTGTCGTCCACTCGTAAAAAGAAAGTACTTTGCTGGTAGAAATTCAATTACAAAAAGTATTATCCACATCATCAGTGCTATATAGTTTAACTTAACTACTCTAACATCGTATGGCCGCTCTTTAGCAGTTCTAGACCATGAAGGTTTCTCCGCTTATTTATAAATATAAGAACACCTGTTCCTAGGGCAAACACGCCGAAACATGAAGCAATTGCCAGAAACACTGTGAAGTAGCTTCCCGAAACATCACGAACATGACCTGAAGAAATAATGATATTAATATTTAAGCGAGCTACAGTAAAAAAACTTAAAATTTTAAATTATACTTGAATTATAGTATCAAAACACTCAACACCCCAGCAGCGCTTTAACTTCCAATATTAGCTGATTTAGACAAAAATGTATTGGTCGAAGCAAGAAAATATTGAAGATTGATATTTTTCAACAACAAAAAGGAAAAACAAAAGCCGCGTGTCCATTGAAGTCTTTAAATAAAAAGCAGCGAAATAGTCGAGATTTGTCAACAATGATTAAATATTTTACATATCTTGGATCAAAGATATTTTAAAAAACTGAAATTTGTTTTTTTAAAGAAATGGACATTTGCACCTAGCGTACGTTGATCATGTTGTCACTCTGGAAACCTATTCCTACCCGCCAAATATGGTCCTACAGCAGCCCCGATACCTTTACTGAAGCGCATTGTCATGAATAAAGTATCAACATTCTCTCCGTCCATGATCTCATAGTTGACGGAAAAGTACACCATACAGCCTACGCTAAAACCTGATACTGAAAAACATTTAAAAATGATTCAAACCATAAAAATATTTTCGGATTTTTTGCTGGGTTTTGAACTGATTACGAGTAATACAACATTGTTTTATTGCTGGAGTACAATTGACATCGATTTCATTTATCAACACTAAAATAAATTTCAAAGACAATTCCAGCTAACCTTTAAAAGTGCCTGATGATCAAAGTAAATAGTGAAATAAAAGTGAAATAAAAATGAAATAAAAACACCTACCGGCACCATATACAAATATGGCCGTCAAAAAAGTCGAATACGCAGCAACAATATTATTGACAATGAGTACCGTAGCTGCTACCAGGTTCACCACCATCAAGTTCCCCTTTAGATAGTCCCCGGCGCAAGAGGTTAACGCCTCACTAACCATGCCCATGATTCCGAAAATGGCCATCACATACCCTGCTTCGTCTTCCGTATAGCCAAGGTCAGTCGTATGTTTTGGCTGAAGAAAACTAGTGCTAAATAAATGCTGTTTTTTTTT